GGATGGGTGAGCAGAGCTCAGCTGCCTTGGAGAATATGAAGAGGCCAAGCCCTGGAGAACTTCCCTTAGGGCTGTGGGCCCTTCTCCTCTCACCCACCCTCCTGCTGTGTGCCCAGTGTGGGGTCTGAGTGGCTGAAGAGCAGAACGAGGCTGGTGGAACCAGCGATTCTCAACCCTCCCCCTATGAGAGCTATTCACCCAGCACAGGGCTAAGTTGGGTGCGCTGAGGTGCGCTGTCTCAGAGTTTTAGCCCCTCTTTCCTTGGCTCCTCTCAGGATCATTGATTCCTTGGAAAGAGGGGAGATGGGGAGGGTGCAGCTGTGGCTCATTAGCCTTGGATTCATCTCCTCCCCACTCTTCTCCATTCTAGCGATGCCAGGGAGAATGCTCAGAGAGTCACAGACTTGTTTAAGTCTGGAGACAGTGGCTACGGGTGGGAGGACTCGAGAGCAGGGACGGTGCAGAGCTAAGTTACTGCATTCTGTATCTGCAGTACTTGATCGTGCATAAGGAGCACATAAAAATAATTAACAAATGCTTGTGAAGTCAATTTGTCTAAGGTATTTAATACTCTAGGGCTTCCCAGGTGGCTCAGTGGTAAAGAGTCCTCCTGCCAATGCAGGAGACTCAGGTTCGATCCTCTGGAGAAGGAAATGGCACCCCACTCCAGTATATTTGCCTGGGAAATCCCATGGACAGAGGAGCCTGGCGGGCTACAGTGCATGGAGTCACAGAAGGGTTGGACATGATTTAATTCTATGGGGATGATCAATAAACATCATTGTTTTTAAAAAGGAGATAGTGTACTAATAAATGACAATAATAATTCAGAGTAAAACTATAGTTATCCATTGATAACTGCTGGGGATGGGTTTCAGGACCCCTGCAGAAACCAAAATCTGCAAATATTAAGTGCTTCATATAAAATGGCATAGTATAGTCGGCCCTCCACATGGAGGGCATGCCAGCTTCATGTCCAGAACACAGACCATGCTATACAAACCATATATGGACCATTATATGGACCAATTATCTGTCCACAACTCTGTGTTCCAAATCATGGAAAGGATATTAAGAACACCATGAAAAGCTTTGGCAGTAAAGCTTAAAACTTGATAAAAATCATCAAATTCTTAGAAAAACACAATTTACAAAAACTGACTCAAGAAGAAATGAAAACTTTGATTATTCTACAATTATTGTAAAAGATCTCTTCCTCCAGAGAACACAGTAGTCCCAGAGGGTCCTATAGAAAAATCTAACCCTTCAAAAAAATGAATAATGCTTTCTGCTGTAGTCATGAGTGGTAGCTGCTGAAATGGGCAAGTTCATGAAACCTGGGCAGATGGTGCTGGTCCTGGCCGGTCGCTACTCCAGACGCAAAGCGGTCATCATGAAGAACATTGATGACAGCACCTCAGGCTGATCCTACAGCCATGCTCTGGTGGCTGGAATTGATCGCTGTCCCTGCAAAGTGACAGCTGCCATGGGCAAGAAGAAAATTGCCAAGAGGTCAAAGATCAAGTGTTTTGTGAAAGTTTATAATTATAATCACCTCATGCCCATAAGGTACTCTGTGGATATCCCCTTGAACAAAACTGTTGTCAACAAGGATGTCTTCAGAGACCCTGCTCTCAAATGCAAGACCCAGTGAGAGGCAAAGGTCAAGTTTGAGGAGAGATACAAGGCACCAGCAAGAACAAATGGTTCTTCCAGAAGCTGTGGTTTTAGGTCTGCCTAAGTTCATAGATATATTTTTTAAAAAGGTAAAAAAGTGAATAATTCTTTTTTTGTAAAAACAATTCTGCTGAGTAGAAAGTGCTCCTCCAGCATAGGGAAATTTGACACCATGAAAATGAAAGAATAGTACAGGTGGTCAAAACTTTACAGAATATTATCAATAACAAGTTCTGAAGCTGAAATAAACTTTCAACTACCAACAATAATTTCCTAAACTACCACTAATAATTTTTAAATATTTAAACAACTATGCTAAAGACAGAATTACCTATTTTTTTGTCATAGAAAATGTTACCTTACAAGGTCATTGTCATATAAAAAGGTGATCAAAGAAACTATAGCAAAAACTATATTGAAAAAGGATTGCAAATAGGCAGAGCACAGAGGATTGTTAGTGCAGTGAAACTAGCTACTCTGTATGATCAGTTCAGTTCAGTCGCTCAGTTGTGACTGACTCTTTGCGACTCCATGGACTGCAGCACGCCAGGCTTCCCTGTCCATCACCAACTCCCAGAGTTTATTCAAACTCGTGTCCATTGAGTCGGTGATGCCATCCAACCATCTCATCCTCTGTCGTCCCCTTCTCCTCCTGTCCTCAATCTTTCCCAGCATCAGGGTCTTTTTGTTTGAAAAGTCAGTTCTTCGAGTCAGGTGGCCAAAGTATTCGAGTTTCAGCTTCAGCATCAGTCCTTCCAATGAATATTCGGCACTGATTTCCTTTAGGATGGACTGGTTGGATCTCCTTGCTGTCCAAGGGATTCTCAAGAGTCTTCTCCAACACCACTGTTCAAAATCATCAATTCTTTGGCGCTCAGCTTTGTTTATAGTCCAGCTCTCACATCCATACATGACTACTGGAAAAACCATGGCTTTGACTAGACAGACCTTTGTTGGCAAAAGTAATGTCTCTGCTTTTTAATATGCTGTCTAAGTTGGTCATAACTTTTCTTTCAAGGAGCAAGCGTCTTTTAATTTCATGGCTGCAGCCACCATCTGTATGATACTATAATGATAAATACCTGCCCTTATATATTTGCCAGAACCACAGAATGTATGATACCAAGAGTTAGCCCTAATGTAAACTATGGACTCTGGATGATAGAGATGTCCCCATGGGCCTGCATGCACGCTAAGTCACTTCAGTCGTGTCTGACTCTTTGTGTCCCTATGGACTGCAGCCCTCCAGGCTCCTCTGTCCATGGGATTCTTCAGGCAAGAATACTGGAGTGGGTTACCATGACCTCCTCCAAGGGATCTTCTCAATCTAGGGATTGAACGCCTGTCTCTTACCATCTCCTGCATTGGCAGGTGGGTTCTTTACCACCAGTACCACCAAATTTGCCAGATTCATAGGATGTACAACACCAAGAGTAAGCCCTAATGTAAACTATGGACTCTGGGTGATAATGATGCCCCAATGTAGGTTCAACAACTCTATCAAATGTTGTTTATTGTTTTTGGTGGAGAATGTTGATAGTGGTGGAGGCTATGTATGAATGGGGGTAGGGATTCTATGGGAAATCTCTGTACCTTCTGCTGTGAACCTAAAACTCCTTGAAAAATAAAGCCTATTAAAACAAGAAAAAGGGATTGTAGAAGTGTGTCAGGCCGCTTATTAATAAAAACAGGTATTTTTCTGGATTTCACTTTAAGGTATTAGTTGGCTACTTTAAATTGGTGATTTGCTGTGATTTCTTTTTTCCCATTCTAAATAAACATTTCATATTGTAACTAATTCAATGTTAGGAATTTTGTAGTGTTTTCCCTAAAATGGGCTTCCAAAATTGAATAATTCAGGTCCCACAAAGTCTGCCCCTGAACAAAAGGTGAAAAAATGTGTATAATTGTTTGAGCCTCAGACCCACTTATATTTTATATACTAATGCAGAGTATTTTTTGCTCACTTTTAATATACTTTAAAATTTTCCATAAGTGCAATTGCTATGTAAATTGGAACTTTATTTTGTTAGAAATGTTACCATCATCTGTTCATGATTTTGAGAAGCAGGGTCCCTTAGGAACCACACCTATGTCATTCTCCATTTGTAAATGTGAGGCTCACAATCATGTGATATGTGCGTGCCAAAATTGGAGATCTTTAATGTATTGATATCTTCTAGTACTGTTGTGCCTGAGCAGTTAAAACATTACAATACATATCATTTTATTTTAAATTAATTTTATTTTTCCTTTCTGTAAGGGAATCATATTGTGTGTGTGTGTGTGAGTCACTCAGTTGAGTCAGACTCTCTGTGACCCCATGCACTGCAGTCCGCCAGGCTTCTCTCTCCATGGAATTCTCCAGGCAAGAATACTGGAGTGGGTTGCCATTTCCTTCTCCAATGAGAATTTTAGTAATAGTAGTTCAGTCGCTAAGCTGTGTCCGACTCTTGCGACCCCACAGACTGTAGCCTGCCAGGCTCCTCCGTCCATGGGACTCTCCAGGCAAGAAGAGTGGATTGGGTTGCCATTTCCTTCTCCAGGGAATCATATTGGTATTATTGAAATTAAATGTTGAGGTAGGTTATGTTAATTTCATTTCCTTAAAGGGGTGTTCTAAAATATTTGCTGTGGGGTGTGGGGGAGCATGGGATCTGAGGTTTAGTACCATCAGACTAAATAGCAGCAGGAACTGAAAAAACATCACTGACTCAATGGCATCACCGATTCAATGGACATGAGTTTGAGTAAACTCCGGGAGCTGGTGATGGACAGGGAGGCCTGGTCAGCTGCAGTCCATGGGGTCGCAAAGAGTCGGACACGACTGACCGACTGAACTGAACTGAGCTGTAATACTGACATTCTTACTGGTGACTTTCGTCTTTCCCAGGATTCCGACCACACCTGGGAGAAGAGCAATGTTTTTAAGAATGGCAACTGTGCCCAAAGGTCAGAGGTCCGATAGTTTCACATCTGTAGCGGATACATCATCCTGTTCCCTGTCCCCACACCCTGGCCATTCCAATCAGGCTAAGAGTTCCTGGAGAGATGGAATACGTGGTCCAGGGAGGGTGACAAATAACAATTATGAATATAACCGCGCTGGGGTCCTGGGTAGAGCGCTGGTGTAAGACCAAGACATTTGGGCTCCCCATCCTAGTGGGCATAAGCATTGGGCGGGTATTCGGGCCGGCAGGGCCCCGGGCAGCAGGGGGCGCTGTGGCGGGAGCTGCGCCGGGCCCTCTGGCGCCTGGCGGTCTCTCGCCTCCTCCCGCGGCTTCCGGAGGAGCTCCCGCGCGCCAGAGGCAGCCAAGTAAGTCATGGACCGCAACCCGTCGCCACCGCCGCCGAGTCGGGACGGGGACGAGGAGGAGGCGGCCGGAGGGGACTGCATAGGCAGCACAGTCTACAGCAAGCACTGGCTCTTCGGCGTCCTCAGCGGGCTCATCCAGGTGCGGAAACGCGCGCCTCGCGCGGCTCCCCCTACTTTCCCCAGGCTGCCGCCCCGCCTCGGGCAGCCCTCTCCTGCCCCGGGAGCCGCCGTCCCTACGACGACCCCTCCCCAGGCCCCGGCGGCCGGGCCTCACCCTGGGCCTCCTGGCTGTCTCCCCGCGGACCCCAAAACTGCCGGCCGCCACTCTCTGTGTTGAAGTGTAATGGCAGGGATGCTGCAGTGCTTTTGGTTAAAATGTTTTATTTTTGTAAAATTCCAAATATATGTGACCATGTAAATGCATTGCTTACATGCAATGCATGTGATGCAGTGGGTTTTTGCTCCCCATTGCCACTGTCGTTTCTGAAGCCCAGGTCGTAATTTATCTGTTTCGAGAACTTCCTCTTTAGTAGAATAAATGATTTGGGCTTCGTACAGCTCTGTCAAAAGCGCGGTTTGCCCTGCCTGACTTTGGGCAAGTCACGTAACCGACTTCTTTCCTAGTTTCTATAAAGTGGGGTAGCATTTGTATTATTGTTTGTAGAGTTATTGTGTAGATTAAATAAGATTATGATAGCCAGAGAATGCTTACCGTAGTTTGCCTTATGGGAACCTCTCAATAAATGTGAACGTTCTTATGTTTCCCCAACTTTTTCCTTTACTTTCTTCTTCTTCTTTTTTTTTTCAATGTCTCACAACTATTGGGTTTATTTGTCTCAGTTATGAGATTGCAAGGTCTTCAAGGTCATGGGCATATCCATATTCATCTTCATTTCTCCAGGAACCGACACAGTGCTGACACATAGTTTTCCTTTACTTTCAATCACTGTCCCCCCTAGTCCATCTTGTACACAGCTGACCAAGTAATCTTAAAAAAAAAAAAAAAAAGGCGTCCATGGGAGTTCCTCATAGTTACCGTTGCCTACTGTGGAAAACTCATATTTCTTAGACTGGAATCCAGGACTCTCTGCAGCTTTTCCAGATTTATCTGCCCATGGCACGCTAAACTGCTCACCATTCCCCACACATTCTAGGCCCTTTCTTAACTCTGAACTCTTGTACTTTTCTCTGTCTCCTCTTCTTCAGGATGACAAACTCCGATTTCCCCTCAGATTTAGCTTCAGTATCCCCTCCTAAGAGAAGTTTGGGAAAACTTCTCCTAGACATAGGTCAGTGGTCCATCTTTTTGTTTTTACGACTCTGTCCACAATTCAGTTGAGTCACTTACCTTTTCTGTTGTGATTATCAGTTTATATGTCTTTTCCCCACTGAATCCTAAACTACTTAGAAGTAAGTAGTTAAATCTTATTTACTTTTATATTTCTACCCCAGTGCCTAGCAGCAGTATTTACCCAAGTTACCCCAAGTACTAGTTTTTTTTTAATAAAAGCTTCTTGCAAAAGAAGATACTTTGAGAATACTAATCTTTGTGACTTCTAAACGATTATGGGATAATATTTCTGGAGGAGTGTTAATGGACAACCTTTATTCATATTCTTCCTTTGTGTTTCTGAAGATGGTTACCCCTGAAAATGCCAAATCCAGCTCAGATGATGAGGAGCAGCAGATGGAGCTTGATGAAGAAATGGAGAATGAAATTTGCAGAGTATGGGATATGTCCATGGATGAGGTATGGGGTTGGAAATGAAACTGAAAAGACTGTTGAGTAAGGAGATGGTGAATAGTTCAGTCCTTAACTTAAGTCTCTTTGGATTTTGTCATGCTTCCACTAAATCTGTTGAGTGGATTATGTGGTTTTTCTTTTTGGTTTGTGAATATGAACTACATTGATTGATTTTCAAGTTACTAAAATGTAGTTTAAAAATTTTATGTATATTCATGAGAGTGATTAATATCTTTCCATTGTCTGCTTTGGTACCAAGGTAACGCTGTCTTCACAGAATGAGGTGGGAATTTTCCCTCTTCCCATTTCAGGAAGCGTTTGTGTAGAATTGCTATTAATGCTTCCTTAAATATTTGGTGAAGTTCAACAGTGAAGCCATCTGATACTGGAGTTTTCTTTGTGGGAAGATTTTTGTTTTTGTTTGTTTTTAGTTTTGTGTATATGTTAACTTTTTTTTAAAATGAGTTTTATTGAGATACAAATCATTACCATAAAACTCACCATTCAGTGGTTGTTAGTATATTGTGGGGAACACTGTAAATTTCTTTAATAGATAGAGGGCTGTTCTGGTTACTTTGGTAGTTTGTGTTCTTCAGGGAGTTAATTCACTTCATCCAAGTTATTGAATTTATTGGCATAGTAATATGTTATCCTTTTAGTGTCTGTAGTGATGGTTCCTTAATCTTCACAAATAATTAGCCGTTGGTTTCACTGATTTTTCTTTGTTGCTTTACCATTTTCTGTTTCATTGATATCCACTCTGATCTTTTATTTCCTTTCTTCTGCTTACTCTGGTTTAATGTGCTTTTCTTTGTATAATTTCTTAAGGTAGAAGCTGAGGTTGTTGATTTGAGATCATTCTTTTTTTTTTTTTTTCATTTATTTTTATTAGTTGGAGGGAGATCATTCTTTTTTAATATAGGCATTTAACACTATAAATATTCCTCTAAATACTGCTTTAGAACTGTCATACAGCTTCTGATATGTTGTGTTTCATTGTATTTAGTTCAATTAATACTTTTCTAATTTTCCTTAATTTTTCTTGGTTAATGAGTTAGCAGTACATTATTTAGGTTTCAAGTATTTGGGGATTTTTCAGATACCTTTCTATTACTGTGGTTAGTGAACACTCTGAATTCTGTTAAATGTGTTGAGACTCGTTTTATGGCCCAGTGTTTGATCTGTCTTGGTAAATGTTCCATGTGCTCTTAAAAAGAATGTGTATACTCCTGTTGCTGGGTGGAGTGTCCTGTAAATGTCAGTTTGATTAGGTCGGTTGAGAGTATTGTTTAAGTCTTCTCTGTCCTCCAACTGTTAAAAAGCTATGGTTTGAGCTTTCGGCTTTCGGCTAGGAGGAGGCAAAGGTGCAACTTTCTTCGGTCATCCCGAATCCGTGTTCATCCGACACCAGCCGCCTCCACCATGCCGCCTAAGTTCGACCCCAATGAGTTCAAAGTCGTCGTGTACCTGAGGTACACCGGTGGGGAAGTCGGTGCCACGTCTGCCCTGGCCCCCAAGATCGGCCCCTTGGGCCTGTCTCCAAAAAAGGTCGGTGATGACATAGCCAAGGCAACTGGTGATTGGAAGGGTCTGAGGATTACAGTGAAACTGACCATTCAGAACAGACAAGCCCAGATTGAGGTGGTACCTTCTGCTTCTGCCCTGATCATCAAAGCCCTCAAGGAACCACCAAGGGACAGAAAGAAGCAGAAAAACATTAAGCACAGTGGAAACATCACTTTTGATGAGATCGTCAACATTGCCCGGCAGATGCGGCATCTGTCTCTAGCTAGAGAACTTTCTGGAACCATTAAAGAGATCCTGGGGACCACCCAGTCTGTGGGCTGCAATGTTGATGGCCGCCACCCTCATGACATCATAGATGATATCAACAGTGGTGCAGTGGAGTGCCCAGCTAGTTAAGAACTGCAAAGGAAAAAGAAAAATAAAGGATCATTTGACAACCAAAAAAAAAAAAAAGAAGCTATGGTTTGAAAACATTTTTTTTTAAAGAAATAAAACTGATTTTTCAAATGAAATGTTAGTGTGAAAACCTCAGATATAAAAAGGTGAAATAGAGCTACTGTTTGAGATCGTGGGTGGGGGGAGGCTCATGCCCGGGTCTTCTGTTTGTCCTCTTGTGGTGGTTCTGGAAGCGCCTCTGGAGAAGAGCTGCTTGCTGATTCACTGGCATAGAGTTCTTCCAGTGAAACTACACCCCAGCCGTATTCCCTGCCACTCGGTGTGTGAGCAGGGTCGGAGACTTCCAGGTGCTTCCTGCATTCGCATGTGCTCATGCTCTGTTCATGCAGCTCCCTGCATGGAATGTCTTCCACCCCATAAAATCTTGCCCATCTTTTATGGCCCAGCTCAAATGTCACCTCTCCTGTGATGTCTCCCCAGACACTCCAGCCAGGATTCCGCTCCTCTGCTCTCATAGAACCTGTTCATTCTTGTTATTCAGTGACCGTTTTGAGCCTGTGTCCTCTGAGAGATTTAAGTTCCTTCTCTTAAAAGCTTAATATCACTTCTTCAGAGATACCTTCTCTGATATATCTAGAGTAGGCCCCCTTACCTTGATTTCTAGCACATACTATCTTGTTATCTTCTTTGTAGTACTTAGAATTTATGTATTAATAGATTAGTTGTTCATATGTTTATTATTTGTTTATCCCTCTAGAAGGAAAACTAGATGGGACTGACACCTTATCCCTAATGTGTCTCCAGAGTTCTAAACAGTGCCTATTACTTGAGTTTTTCAGTAAATATTTTATAAGGACCTAATGAGTGAATGAATATCTAAGAGTTAGAGTTAGTATGGTGTGCTGGCTAAGAGCATGGGCTTGATCAGATTTCAAATTCTGATTCTGTTCTCCTATTTATTATATAATTTTGAGCAGGTTGCTTAACCTTTTAAAACCTTAGTTTGCTTATTAGTGTAATGATCATAACTACTTCTTAAGATTGTTTTCAGAATTAAATGAGATAGTACTTCACTGGGATTTGATACTTGTTCAGTAAATGTTCATTGCTGTTACTATTGTTGGCATTGGTATTATTAGGCTATCTTGTGCTACTTCACGAGTCATTAACTGTCATTAAATACGAAAGTCCCTGCATGCTGCAGAGAGATGCGCACTTGACAGACAGCTTGATGACTTAGGGTGGAGAGCATCTGGTTCTGTGACTTTCAGTTTGGAGTATATCTTTGAAAATATTGTTCTGTCTGATCATGATCTCTGAATAAGTACAGTATGTCTCTCTCAGCCAGCAGTCATGCAGGTTACCCCAGTTTCAGCTGCTTTGAAGGATTACTGCCTCTCTCTTTGAGGGTGCTTTGAAGGGCATTTTTCATTTAAGCCACTTAGCATGTGTTATAAGTTAAACTAGAATACACGCCACAGGTTTGGTGAATATCCAAGGTGATAGGCAGCCAGAAGCTTAATTTTATTTCACTATTTTACAATGAAAATCTCCACAGCTAATTGATTTAGTTTTGGGGTTCACATTTCTAGTGAGATTGGGCCACATGTCTGCCCCCGGTTCATTCACCTGTGTGATGTGTCCCTTTAGGCCCTGGGGACCAGGCAGACTCTCTAGGCTGAACATGTGAAGCTGTTGCAATTACATTGTGATCAGAATTTTTTCTGTTGAGGATTTTGAAAACAAAAGTTCTGATTCTGGGCATGACCCAATCAATAGGAGCTTTTATCTGTTTTCTCTATCAAGTTTTAAGCTCTTAGAAGACAAAAATTATGACTTACTTTTTTCCCCCTTATCCCATGTTCTAGCATGATACCTGGAATCAGCAATGTGTTTGAATGACTTAATGAGAATTCCTGGTGGGTAGAAAGATCATTAAGATAACTATATACATGGCAGAGAAAGGAGGACGGTCCTTTGGAATATCACAGTCACTTCAGATTTGCTTGTGGAATTGTTCCATTGCATTGAGACTGTATACCACCATGCTCTAATATTACTTTTGTCTGTTGACACAATTCCTAACCTTATGCATTTTTTTTCTTGTGCCTGAAAAGAAGTGTATATGAAATTCATTTTTTTTAAGGTTGCCTAAGCTATTGGGTTTAAGGAGGAATATTCAGCATCCAAGTTAATAATCATTTTTATTTTTAGGATGTGGCTTTGTTTCTCCAAGAATTTAATGCTCCTGACATATTTATGGGAGTATTGGCCAAATCCAAATGTCCTCGATTAAGAGTAAGTATGTACATTTCTAAAGCTGCCTCTTTGGAGCAGTGACCTAAAAGTGCTGGATAGTCTTTCATTTTTCTCACTTTACTGTTCTGAAGTGGCTACAGATCAGTCTGCAGATGTTTATTGAACATTATCAGGTACCAAGTAATGTGCTATTTAAAATTATTACAGTCATAGAATTTTAGATTTGGGCTGGACCAGGGAGATCATTAGTTAGATTTAACAGCTGTGGACACTGTAGATAGTCATAGCTATCATTATGCTGCTAATATGTGGTAGAACAGGGACCAATGCCTGGACTACCCATTTCTCAGTTTATTGCCTTTTTCTTTTTTTTTAAGTCATAAAATCCTCCATTGCTTAAAAAAACCTTAATTCTAAACACAGCCTATAGCTCAGTACTTTCCATAATTTGAATCTGATTTGTCTTTCTTGCATAAAATCTGCCCTGCAGGTCGTCTTCTGATTTAGCATGGCCTATCTGCTCCTCACCTCAGGAGCTTACTGTGATCATCACCTGCTCCGGGCCTCCCTCTGTGTGCCTCCCATCTCCTCTCAATATTCACATCTGTTTTCCAAGGTGGTACTTTTCTTCCAAGACTTCCCCAATAAGTAATCTCTCAGTGCCCAGTGATGGTAGTAAGCACATCAGAACAGTTCTGTACTTTCATTGCCTTGCGTACTTTAGTGCCATTTAGGTTGCCCTTTGCTGTGTATATTGTGGCTGATTCGTAAATATTTATTAGGTAATTATAATTATGAATGACTGCTATTTACTGAGTATTTCATTTTACTACTCTGTGAGGTAAGCATTGATCTCTCCTTTGTAAATAAAAGAACCAAGTCTCAGGTTAAGAAGTTTGTCTGGGGTCATACAACTAAGAAAGAAAGGAGCTGGGGTTGAGCCTAACCTGCCTGACTTCCATGTAACTGATGTACTGTATCGTCTCTCTTTCTTTGAAATTATGAATGAAGTGGAGGATTCTATAGTATATTTTTACAAATTGAATGTTGGATTAAAATTTTATTTCATATAATGCACCACCTAAGTTAGGGCCTCTTGAAGCAATGAACCACTTTTTCCTTAGATTGTTATATTAATATAAAGATTTGACAGTTGCATGACTTTCTCCTAGCTTTTTCAAATTTAGGTACTTAGTACTTAAAATAAGCTTATTTTATTTTAAGAAAATAAGAATTGCTTCTTTGGGGAGTTAGTCCTGTTATTAATTATATATGTCTCTGAACCATAGCATGTTCATGGCCATGATTCTTAGCCTTTGCCACATGTTGCTAGGTCACTTCAGTTGTGTCCGACTCTGTGCGACCCCGTAGACGGCAGCCCACCAGGCTCCCCCGTCCCTGGGATTCTCCAGGCAAGAACACTGGAGTGGGTTGCCATTTCCTTCTCCAATGCAGGAAAGTGAAAAGTGAGAGTGAAGTCGCTCAGTTGTGTCTGACTCTTTGCGACCCCATGGACGGCAGCCTACCAGGCTCCTTCATCCATGGGATTTTCCAGGCAAAAATAATGGAGTGGGGTGCCATTGCCTTATCCTTGCCGCATATTAGAATCACCTAAAATGTTTGCTTCCCAACTGCAGCGTGTCCTAGAATCAGTGATTATTGGGTCCACCCCCAGGCTCTGATCCAGTAGTTTTGGGTAGGATTAAAGAGTTCTGATAGGTTTCCAAGTAACGTTAGTCAGGTTATGACCAGGACGAGGGCCCAAATTTTTAAACGCTTTGTCCTAGGAAGCTTCTTACAAGTTGCAGGTCAGGCCATTCCAGATCATACAGTCTCACTAAGTGTGAGGTTCCAGACAGCTTTTAAAGTCCCCCCTGGTTATTCCAGTGAGTAGCTGAGACTGGAAAACTTAGTGTTTGGTTGGAAGTTCAATTATTCCCTCTAATTTTTACGGGCAAGGTGTGTGCTGCTCTTCTGCCCCTGTTTTGTTTTACTCCTTTCCCTACATTTGACCACCCACATTTTAGTGAAGCTCTTGACTCATTTAACTTTGGTGCCACTCCACTCTCCTGGTCTCTGACCTCTCCAGTCACTTCTCTGTTACTTGTTTTGTCTTTTTACTTTCTTCCTACATGCTTCTTTTAAGGTGTACATCAGATCCTTTGTCCTTTCTTTATTCACTTCCTTGGTGAGTTCAGCTACTCGACACCTTTCTTTAAGTGGCAAATCTGTGTTTGTGCGATGCCTCCCTTCTGATTTCCGGTGTCTGTTTCTTACCTTTCATCAAGCTCTGTCTACTTGCATGCTGCATTTTCCAATCCAGAATTGCATATGTTCAAACTCAGTGCTTGTTGCACTTATCCAGTTTTCAAAATCACATGATGTGCTTGATAAGCAACTTCCTACACCCTACTCTGGGGATTCTGATTCAATAGATCTGAGATGGGACATGGAAATTGGTATTTTCAGTACATTCCCTAAGTGATTTTTATGTTCTAGCAAGTTTGGAAGCACTATCCTAACTGAATTCATTGTGTTCTTTCCTGTGCTTCCTTTTCTAGTTGTTTTTGTCAATGGAACCAGTCTGTCCTACTGGAGAAATAAAACAACTTGAAACCTAGGAGTTATGTTCAATTGCTTCTCTTTCCTCCCATCATACTATTCTGGTTTCACTTGAGTCTTTCTCAACTTCATCCATTTCTATACCTGCCATTGCCACCCTTAATCTTCCTTCACCTTGATTTCAGAGGTGCAGTGTGATATAGTGGTTAAATGCTCAGCCTCTGAAATTTTGTTGTTTTCTAGTAGGAGATCTTGGACAGGTTGTTTAGTTTCTCTGTGTTTTGATTTCCTCATCTGAAAAATGGGGATAATGATGGTACATACCTCATAAATTATTATATGAAATAGTACATGGAAAGTGCTTAGGGTAGTGCCTGAGAATAGTAAGTGCTAAATAAGTATTAGCTGTTACTAGTGAAGTTAGCTCCTTTAAAAATTTTTTCACTATCATGTGTTATACATTTTGTTGCCAAAATAATTTTCCTAAAATATTACAGTATGTTGACCACTTTCTTGAGGACCTTCATGACTTCAGATAACTCAGATTAAGTCTAAACTCTTCAACATGATGTTTAGGGCCCTTAATCCTGATCCTTTCTTTCTGCTGTACTTATCCCATGCTCTCCTCCCACCATGTGCTACTAATATTGGGTTGGCCAAAATGTTTGTGTAAGATGTCGTGGAAAAACCTGAACGGACTTTTTGTCTGACCCAGTAACTGTGTGCTAATACAGGCAGCTTTCTGTGTTAGCCTTTGTTCACTCTTGCATTATTCCCTTCCTGCCGTGGATGACACTTTCCCTCTCATTTGAATGTCTTGTCTTGTTTGTACATTCAAATCCTATCAATCAAATATGACTCAGTTCATCCATAAGATTTCTTCTTCCACAAACTCCTGCCTGCCTTTGATCTTTCTTTTTCTTGTGTTTTTCATCTCCTCTCAAATACTACTGGACATTTGTCAAATTAGGAAACAGGCAATATACTCCCGTGTGCTGCTTCCCCTTTTCTCTCCCCAGACTTGGCTCAGTGAAAGTTTTTTTTTTTCCTCTCAAGTTGTTATTTTTGTATATATGTCTTTTACCTTAGAGCCTAACATTGTGACATGTGAAATTTGATTTGGCAGGAAATCTGTGTGGGAATATTAGGTAATATGGCCTGTTTCCAGGAGATATGTGTGTCCATCAGCAGTGATAAAAATCTTGGGTAAGTTTTACTACATAATAATTATGTTTTTAAAAGATAGACTCATATTTCCTATCCCTAAGGAAATCCTTATCCATAAGAGAGACAGGGAAACGTGGAATGTAGTACTTCCTTTCTCCTGGTGAGCACGCTCCAGGAACTGCTCTGTGTGTTGATGATGGTATCTGGGGGCTTCCGTACTATTTGTGGACATGATTCAGAATTTAAGCCTGTCTTCAGCATTGGTTGCCAAGGAGCCTGAATCGTCACCCGCATGGGATAAGAACCAGTGGGGCAGAGCTTGGAGATGGAGCACCTGACCAGAGTCCGAAACAGTTTAGGCTCAGGGAATCCAGAGGCGCAGAGCTGGAGTCTAAAACAGCTAGACTTGTTGACCACAGTCACCCTGAGAATTTTGACTTAGATGCTGGGTGCAGTGGCTTGCCACCAGAACAGAGGATACAGGGTTGCCCCTGTGGTTCAAAAGCTGTCATACTCCTGCTTAGAGGCCTGGTCTCTTCTAATTCTGTCAATCAGAGTCTTAAAGAAATATGTGCCTACTGTCGGTTAAGAAAACTGTTCTAGGTTATTTTCAGGAAAAGCTGTAAGGCTTATCACAGGATTCAAGTACCTGGGGCCTCCAAAATAGAGGTTATTACCTCTTCTAGGTGTGGAAGGACTTTAAGATCCTAGTTTAAGGTATTTATTCTTCCATAACTTATAATCATTCATGGAATAAATGACTCAGGATTATGTTTGGTGTCTAGTGATACCTATTAAAAATCTGAATGAGTTATATTGACAAGTTTTATAAATGTAATTAAATACTTATCTTAAAAGTAATATGGAACAGTGTACGTTGCTGATGAGATATACATTTCTTCAACCACTTTGGGACAATTGTGCATTACCTACTCAAATTAGAAGATGCACTGTGACCCAGTAATGCTGCTTACAGGTATATGGTAAGAGAAGTTGCACACATAAATCAGGATACTCATACAAAAAGTATTATGACTGTTGCTTGAAAGAGCCCCAAATTGGAATAAACCCAAATGTTCATCAGTAGTAGGCTGGAAAAATAAATTGTTTTATATTCATTCAGGGAAATGTTCCACAGCAGTGAATCTGTAGCTACAGGAACAAGATGGGTAGATTGTAAAGAGATGGTATTGGGCAGAAGAGCTCAGATGCAAAAGAGTACATACAATATCATTTCTTTCATATAAAGTTCAAAACCAAAATATATAAGTGAACTGTAGGGTAAGCCAGGAAAATGATTGCTGGAAAAGTTAGGATAGTAGTCGTTTCTAATGGGAAGGAGAACTGTGGTTTGTAAGAGACACAGAGTGGCTACAGAGATGCAACTCTGATCTATGTCTTGCTTTATAATTGTTCCCCAAGTGTAGATTTGCGTCTTACTGGTTTTTATGTATATATGCCGTGTTTTCACAATTAAAACGTTCAAAAAGTTAAAAATTCTGTTTTGATATTTGAAGTGAGAGAAGTGAGGCATATCGGGTTACCGTTTTTGTTTTTGTAGCCAGGTATTGCTGCACTGTTTGTATGATTCAGACCCTCCTACTCTGCTGGAGACAAGCAGGTATGCGTTCTTCTTTTTATGGATTCTCTATACTCGCCCATAAGGGGACCCAGGAGAGTAGAGTTGCCCTTTCCCTCTTGAAGTTGCTCTACTGCTTTTGAAAGATAGGTATTAAGCTCACATTTTTCACATAGGTTGTTGCTTACTTGCCTTTCCCAGACAGAAGTGGCCAGTGTCTGGGTTGAAAGAATTCGAGAAAATCCAGCTATTTATGATAGTATTTGCTTCATCATGTCAAGTTCAACAAATGGTAAGTCACCATGTAATCTAGAAAAAAAAAATCTTTAAAATTATATTTAATTTTTAGGAAACCACGTAACTATTTCTAGAGGTCACTTAAAAACTAAGTGTTAGGTGAGATACTATTTCAGTTCAAGATATAAACTTTCTTCTTAAGCTCTCAAGATGCTGATAAATCTCCCACTTGAAAATGAAGGAACGCAAGCAGATTTAAACAAAGGTAGTAAACAGATTGTGCTTGGAATAAGTAATGCTTTGATAAGATTTAGCTTTCTTGAAATAGTTTTAGGAATTTTGATTAGACTTACTGCTTTAAAAATTTTGTTTCTTATTTCAATATCTGTTTTATTCTCTGCAGTTGACTTGCTGGTAAAGGTTGGGGAGGTTGTGGACAAGCTGTTTGATTTGGATGAGAAACTGATGTTGGAATGGATTAGAAGTGGGGCTGTTCAGGCTCTGGACCAACCCCAGGAAGATTCTGAACAGCAGCCAGTGTTTCGAATTGTGCCCTGTGTACTTGAAGCTGCCAAACAAGTGCGGTAGGTGAGCTCTTCTGTGCAAAACGTTCTGGGAAAATCCCGTTGCTAGAAGCATCCTTACATATGTCTTCTTAGTTTCATTTCGACGGGATGAGTAGCACATAGCTGATCTTTGACAGGTTTGATTCACTACTAATATTGGTGACAGTGTATTTGCTCTTTGCAAGAATCACAATGGTGGCAAAATACCTGTTCTAATACTAGTATTACTTAGCAATAGGCTGTTGTTCAGCATTAATTATGGTTACTGTCTTAAAATCTTCTGTAGTTTTGTATAATTTTATATCAAATGGAAAAGATTTTCTTTGTGCTTTATTTTTTACTGGCCATGTGACAACTTCTTCATTTAATGTCAGATATCATTTGTTTTCTTGCTGCTTGCATGTATGTGCCAGTCTCAGATAAATGACTGCCCTTTGGGCTCTGGTGTCTTCCTAAGAGTGATTACTAGATCTTGTAGATCACTGGAACTGTTTTTTGCTAGTCACTAGAAAATTAATTTATGAATTGATCTGCCTGTTGGTCAACTCATTCTTAATGCTTTATGACCTACTTTTTTTTTGGGCTACTCCCCGTGGCTTGTGGAATCTTAGTTCCCTGACCAGGGATTGAACCTGGGCCTTCAGCAGTGACAATGCAGAGTTTTAACAACTGGGCTGCCAGGGAATTCCAAATAATCCACACTAAAACCTTTAAATTTTATGTCCTTTATCCAGGTGAGCATAAAACTCATCCTTTTCCCCCAGACCTGCTTCTTCAGTATTCTCAATCACAATAAATGAGATAATCATTATTCCATTTGGATAATGTGGGAGAAATGTGGAAGCCATTACTGACACTTCCCTATCCCACCCTTTTCCCATGGCCAGTCAGCCTCCAAGCCTTGTTCCTAACTCTTTAAAAGTGCTTGTTTATTTGGCTCCATCAGGCCTTAGTTGTGGCATGCCTGATCTTTGTGCCACGCAGACTCACTGGTTGCGGTGCACCAGACTTAGTTGCCCCTTGGCATGTGGGCATTGAACTGCCCGGGGATTAAACCTGCATCCCCCACATTGCGAGGCAAATTCTTAACTACTGGACCACCAGGGAAGTCTCTTCCTGACTTTTTGGAACTTTGTCTGTGCCCCTGCCAGACTGCGATGGACAGCTGCACCATTCTCTTAGCCTGAGTTCCCAGCCTCAAGGCTCGCTCTTCCAGGCCTAGACTATAGAGCTGTCTTTCCAGAACATACACTAGTCATCTCACTTTCATGCTTCAGACTCTTCAGTTGCCTTCCTTTGAATGAAGTCCAGATTTGTATGGCTTACCAGGCCCTTATACAGTGCTTCTCCATCCTTATTCCTGTCCTCTGTTTCAGCTACATGAAATTTCCTTCATTTCTTCAACTGAACCAAGCTATCTTGACTCCAAGCCATTGCACACCATGTTGTCTCTGCCTCCAACATTTCTTTGCCCCTTTCAGGGCAAACCGTTTCTCCTAGGATATGTTACCTGATTCTCCAAACTAAATTAAGTCTGCTACTTGGATATCTTTCTAGTGTTACATTCATATCACTTTACTATTATTATCCCTGTAATTATCATCTTTGCTTTTAGACAGTAAATTTCATGAAGGTAAGGGTGTCATATATGTATCTGTTTTCCCAGCCTCTAACATAGTGCCTGCAAGCTGTAGGCACTTATGAACCATCTTTTAGTTGTTCACTATCTTTTCACTTAATTGTGTGGTTGAAGAACTAAGTCTGTGAGTTTAGGAATCCAGACTGTTGATCACAAAAATTATACTTAGCAGGTTTTAGCATTCTCAGCTCGGCGGGTAAGGTGATCCTATGAAGTTTTAAGATCATCATTATTGTCAGTGCTTGTGCAGTGGGCGTTACATTCATTCTGTTGATGTCTCAGTCACTTTTTGTCTGATGATTCAAGTAAACCAGCACGGTGAGGTATCTGCCACCTGGTAGGTTTCTGCATTGTTAATTTCATGGGCCGAGGTCAAAAAGAATTTTTACTTCTTGCCCAGTGTGTGTTGATTGTACTACATAATATTTGTTTTTTGACTGTTTCCTCCATTAGAATGTAAGCTCTGGTGAACAGAGGACTTTGTCCTGTTCCCTTTTTCATCCTTAGCATGTAAGGCAGTGCCTAGTACCATGATAAATATTTATTTATTGAATAAATGAATGATCACAGTTCCACAGACCAAGAGTTGATTGAATGCTTTTGCTTGTTGTATTTAGCTCTGAAAATCCAGAAGGGCTTGATGTTTACATGCATATCTTACAGCTGCTCACCACGGTAGACGATGGAATTCAAGCAATTGGTAAGATGTTGAATGGGGGAGCACAATAGTTATTCATTTAATTGTTTTCTGTTTTTAAACTATTACTTTCTTTGTCATCTTTATCAAGTGCAGTGTCCAGATACTGGAAAAGACACTTGGAATTTACTTTTTGACCTGGTGTGCCGTGAGTTCTGCCAGGCTGATGACCCGCCCATCATACTGCAGGAGCAGAAAACAGTGCTGGCCTCTGTTTTATCAGTATTGTCTGCCATCTATGCTTCACAGGCTGAACAGGAGTATCTAAAGATAGGAAAAGGCAAGTATAATTTAATTCACTAAGTTAAATTCCGGTTCATCAGATGTGTTTGTTGTTCATTTTATTCCTTTCTTCGATTTTTCTGGTGCTTTTATTCCCTTGAATAAAAAAATACCACATGCTAAATACTAGTGCTTATAATCTGACCATTCAGAGATAACTACTATACACTCACATCCATATGTATTTTTTTTTCCTGTTTTTTAGGCAGCTTTTTTCATTGAGAAATATAAATGAATATTTTCCTCTGCAAACACATGGTCTTTCACAGAATAATTTTTATGACTAATACAATGAAATCCATGACCCATCTAGAATTTATTCTGATGTTACATGTGAGATGTGGTTTCACATTTTTTCCAGATGGCTGCCCATCTGTCTCAGCATTGCTGAGTGAATAAACCAGTTTACCCACACGGATTTGAAAGTTCATTGTTACTGTGTTTTATATTTCCGTATATATTTTATTCATTTCTGTTGCTGTATTCATGTATCCATAGCAATCGTGTTTTAATTATTAAGACTTTATGTTTTGATACCTAGTAGGGCTAGTCCTCCTTCATTCTAATATTTCAGTATCTTTTTGACTATTATTCTTTTTTTTTTAACACTGAATTAGATTCACAAGTTCCAAACAAAACCAAAATGTCTTCTTGAATTTTGATTGAAATGTTAAATTTACAGTGTCTGAAAACATGTGCTATTCCATTTGTTCAAGTGTTATGTCTCTCAGTAATGTTTTATGATTTTTTTCATACAGATCTTCATATCTCTTATTAGGTTTATTCGCAAATATTTTGTGTGTTGCTCTTGTCTCTGGTATCTTCCACTGATTACTGTTGGAATATATGAGAATTGTTGGGTTTCTGTATATTAATTTTGCATCAGTTGCTTAGTCACTAAACATGTCAGCTGTTTGCGGCCTCATGGGCTGTAGCCGGCCAGGCTTCTCTGTCTTTGGGATTTCCCAGGCAAGAATACTGGGGTGGGTTGCCATTTCCTTCTCCAACTGAGTTCTCTTACTCTTTTTAGTGGTTGTTCCAGTGGTAATTTTGGACTTTATCTGACACTTCTTTTAGTTTAACCTAGGTATGTTTTTTCACTTTTCTACCTCTTTGTTATTTAATGGGTTGCCGTTTACCTCGGGGGTTATGTAATAATGGTGATCTTTACCTTTTTCCTGACTTTAATTGGCCATGATTCTAGAGCTTCATTAATCATGATGCTGTTTTAGGCTTAAGCTGTTTATATTGTACCATTTGAGGACTTACTAATCTGTTTCTATTTTATTAAGAGTTTTTAATTGAAAGTAAATGTGGACTATTTTCAAGTGTCTTTTTTGCATTTATGGATAAATTACCTGAGGAGATGACATTGAGTACAAATGTGAGGGAAGTAATGAAGTGAGTCATGTGAATTCTTGGTCAGAAAGCATCCCATACAGAGAGAACAGCAAGTGTAAAAGCCCCAAATTAGAAGTATGCCTGGTATATTTGAAGAAGAGCAGTGAAGCCGTATATGACTGGGGTGAGAAAGAGAAATAGCACCTGGGGCCAGAGAGGTAATGGGGGTTGGGTGGGGAGGGCCTGACTTTGGCTTTTGCTCTGAATGAGCTAGGGAACTGTAAGCAGAGGATGGACAGACTTGAGCAGACTTTAACAGGCTTTCTGTGGGGGCGAAAGGGAGACTAGTTAGGAGGCTGCTGTGGCAAGAGATGGTGTAACTTGCTTAAGGTGGTAATGGGGAGGTGGTGGGGGAAAATAGTCAGATTCTGATCATTTTTAAATAGTGCCAACAAGATTTGCCGACTAGTAGAATGAGGAGTGTGAGAAAAGTCAAGATCTGTCTGGCATTTTTGTGCAAAAGAATTGCCATTTACTAAGGTAGAAAAGACTGGTTTTTAAACCTGGTACGGTTGAGATGGTGACTACATGTCCAGCTGGAGCAGTTTTGAGTCTGGAGCAGAGGAGAGAGGGCTGAGCTGGACTGTAAATATTGGAGTTGTCAGCTGTTATGCTTATTAGGTTTTTCATAAACCTTAGTTACTTCTTTCAACTTGATTTGATGTGAAAAGAGGGAAAATTACTATCTTTTACTGCCAATATGTTTGTCCTTTACATTGTTTGTAGTTTAATGAATGTTGATGGCATGTTGTTTAGTATATATTCATTATAAATTGCCCATCTTTGTCTCCCATAATACTTATTTTCTTTGCTTAAATCCTCTTATATCACATATAAAGTTCATATCCCCCATTTTCTTTTTGTTTGCATTTGCCTCTAATAGCTTTGTCTATATTATTTTTTTCAACCTTTCTGAATACTTTGCTTTAGATGTGTTGATTTGTTTTCAGTAAATGAGTTAAACCATTTAAATGTGTTGATAGTTACGTTTGATCTGAATATTGTCACATTATATTTTTCATGATGTACATTTATATTGAAATACTTCAGTATATGATTTATTTGCTTTGTTTTGTGAGTATATCTGAGATTTAGTAAGGTTAATGGCTTTATAACTGTCTCAAAATACAATTATAATGCCCCTCATTAAAAAAATTCTTAAAATCTAATAATAAAGCATATGTCTCCATGTTGGCTATTTTTTATCCATTTCCCTGGTATTTTCAAACTAACAACTTAAATTTTGAGGGGGGAGGCAGTTCCTGAATTGTATTTTTCTATATCTGTCCTTTTTCATCATTTCGGGTTTCTTTTTCAATCTGTTTTATTCATTTGCTTATTTGAGAGTATAAAAACGTAAGTCTCTTGAAGTCTGAGGCCTTGACAATCTTGTTTACCACCATATCTACAGCACCTAAAATACAGTGGTGTCTAGTATTAGTAGATGTTCAGTACATGTGCAGGAATGAATGAATGGTGACCAAATGTAACTGGCTGATTCCTTGCCCCTTGATTTGTTTGTACAGTGGATCTTCCTCTGATTGATAGCCTGATTCGTGTCTTACAAAATATGGAACATTGTCAGAAGAAACCAGAGAACTCAACGGAGTCTAACACAGAAGAAACTAAAAAGTCTGATTTAACCCAAGATGATTTCCACTTGAAAATCTTAAAGGATATTTCATGTGAATTTCTTTCTAATATTTTCCAAGTGTTAACAAAGGTAGGAGAGAAGCATAAAATGCTTTCTTCAGCAAAAGAAAGTATGGATTGCTTTCTGCTCCCAAATTTTATTGTTAATGTTTTTATTTTTTAATTTTACATAAATTTGGGAAAATAGAGAAAGAAAAAACTTATCATTATAAGTTTATACTCAAACTAAAAGCTGATGTAAATTAGTATATTTATTTATGTGCTTTTCATATACTTCTCACCAGTTGCACAATTTTTGGAGGCCGCTCTTTTGACTTAACATTACAAACACTTTTCCTGACTCCACATCAATACACTGAAAAACTTTTCACTGAGAACCAGTTTGTTTAATACTCAATTTGCCAAAAAATTGGTTTTCAAAATTTACTGTTAACTTGTCTTAAGAAGTATTCTTCCTGAATATGTGTAGGATTGTTAGCATATTCTTTCTTTGAGCATATTCTTTCTAGCCATATATTTTAGGAAGAATATACTTATGCATGCAATGATGAAGATCATATTCATTGACACTTTTAAAAAGAATATGCCTTAAAACAAGCTTCAGTTATTCTGATGATTTATATTTTTGGTGAATTATCATGCTTCCCTTTTCCAGATTTGGAATTATTACCTTAACATAGGTTTTCAGAAGCTAGATGGCTGGGTTTGACATGATAAATGTAAAAATGACTGAGGCATAAATGGCTATATATTGCCAAAATGGTCTTGACATGTGAAAAGTGTTGATTTTCCTTGATCCTTAATGTTGTGTATTGTAATTTTTATATCAAGTAAAATACCACAGGTGATATATTGCACCTTATTTTGATTTGCATTTTTTTTATTATTAGTGAGATTAAATATCTTTCCATATATTTGTGTGTCCTGCTTTATAAACTTGTCCATCTTGATTTTTTTATGAACTCCTTGGGTATTTCTATATCTTTTGCATATTTTTTACCAGTATTTTTCCCATTGTTTGTTGTTGTTTTTGTTTCTTTGGAGGGAGGGATGTAGGTGTTTCTTAATTTTTATGTGATAAGAATATAGGAAGAAAGTGGGCAGAGAATAAACCAGGGATATGTCTTGAAAATTCTGGTATGCCATACTTAATGGAATTTGGACTTAATCTTGAGGAAATTGAAGAAACTAGAGTTTTTTTTTGAAGCACCAAGTGATGTGACCTGTTTAGAAAGATTATTCCAGAGGTAGTAGAGGATTAGAATGAGTTGAACCTCCAAGACAGGAGACCAACCAACAGGCTCTTGTGGCCGGTAATCTTCAAGGAAAAAGAGTGAGAGCTTAGACAGTGGAAGAGTGGATGGAGAGCAGGGGTGGGATGAGAGAGATTTAGTAGAGTAGAACTAAACACTTGGGTGGAGGGGCTGGCAGCAGAGGAGGACGTCTTGGTGATACCCTAAGTTTTTGGTTTGTGCAGCAGGCCTGGTGGGTGGTGGTGCCTTCAATGGAGCACATGTTTGGGTTAGACAAGGAGGAATGATGGCAGGTTCAGTTTGAAGCATTTGAAATGCCTGTAGGATCAGTAGGGAACTGGATAAACTGATTTGCATTTATTCGCCAGATGTAGCTTTAGAAATTTTCTTTTTTTTGATAACAGATCTTTTTCTTTCTTTGTTTTAGGAGACTGTAACTCAGGGACTAAAGGAGGGCCAGTTAAGCAAACAGAAGTGTTCCTGTGCATTTGAAAATCTTCTTCCGTTCTATAGCCCTGTGGTGAGTATGAGTAAAGGTATAGGTGGCCGATTTTCAGGGGATTGCTCTGTAAAATGTTTTAAGTAATAAGCACTTGATCTCTGAGGCCTTTGTGAAAAAAGATAGTGCATATACCACACTTGATTCAGTGCCTTTGTCAGATAGATGACTGCTGGATAATTCATGGCACTAGCCTGAGTAACACTTACAAGATTCTTAGATAGGTACAGTCAATAGGTTTTTATGGTCCTTCAAATTACATTGCTTTTGCTACCATTAGAGGCAATTTCAGAATAACTTTTTTTTTAGGAAAATGAAGTGTGGACTGTGGGAGTGAGGGAGTGGGTCAGAAAGGAGGATGATAATGTAACTCTGGTAATGGACCCTCAAGGCAAATCATCAGTAAGAGGAGAAATATTAGTTTAAAAGTAAACGAGGGGACTTCCCTGGTGGACTAGTTGGATAAGAATTCCCCTGACAATGCAGGGGACGTGGGTTCGAACCCTAGTCTGGGACGATTCCATATGCCTCAGAGCAGCTAAGCCATGTGCCACAGCTACGGAGCCTGTCCCCTAGAGCCCGTGAGCCACAACTGCTGAGCCTGAGTGCCCTGGATCCACATGCCACAACCGCTCAGCTCGCTCGCATAGAGCCTGTACTCCACAAGAGAAGCCCCTGCTCGCTGCAACTGGAGAAAGCCCTCACCCAGCACAGCCAAAAATAAATAAAGAAAGAAAAGTAAAAGTAAACAGAGTGGTAAGGGCTAGGCATTTCCTTGGTGTTTCAGAGGACTATCCAAGAGTACTGTTCTTGTCACCTGCCAATCTGTCAACATTTCTTTTCCATTGGACTGTTTAGAAGACATAGGTAGACATTTTTACAGACAGTAGTCAGTATCTTTTTAGGGTATCTTTTCCTCTACTTATTTTTATTTGATTCTTTTGTTTACCTCACAGGTGGAAGACTTTCTCAAAATCCTCCGTGAAGTTGATAAGAATCTTGCTGGTAACCTGGAAGAAGGCTTCCCAAGTTTGAAGATTCAGACTTAAAAACTGTTAGAATCCCTTTGCCCAAGAAATGGACTCGCTGACTGTTGAAATTGACAAATAGGAAATATTACACCATAATTGTTTGTTATTTTACTCATGCCCTTCTCCTCCAGCCTTACCTCATTTTTGTTTGGCATTGAAATATTTTCACTACCATCAAACATTATCTCCCTCCCCTCCTTTTGTGTGTGTGTGTGTGTGTGTGTGTGTTGGTTGTACAGTATTTGTCTTCAGGTAAAGAAAACAAAATTATCATAGAGGTCCTTTTTCGAATATTTGAGGGGTCACTGAGGATTTTCTTCATAACTCAAGTTGATTTTTACTCAGAATTTTGTATTTATATCTACTGCAAGTGCATTCAGCTGCACTAGTAGAAAACCCTACTACAGTAGCTTAATCTGTTAACTTGTATGTATCTTATGCAATAAGAAGTCCAGAGGTATGCAGTCCAGCCCTGATACGGTGGCTCAGAGGACCCTGACTCCTTTTAACTCTATGTGGTTGCCGGGTAGACCTTTGTGTTCATTACTGTTGTCTTTTGGTTAAAGGGACTATAATACCTCTGGTCCTTTCTTCCACATTCATGGAAGGAAAAAGAGAAAGAGGCCAAGGGGCTTTCTCTTAACAAATCCTTACTTTTTATTTGGAAAAGATAGCCCTCCTTGACCAGAACCATGTCTTATGTCCGTCCCTAATTGTAGGTATTTGAAATCAAGAACTTTTTTTCTTTCTGGCCTCTATAGGAGAGATAGGCAAGAGAGAAGGGAGATATAAATGGCTTTTGAGTATACCTAGTTCATGGTGTTTGCCACAATATGCAAGCCTTTCTATTCATTTTAATTGTTTTGATTCCGTGCTAGGTTGTTAGTAACAATCAAAAGCAATGACTAGTTTAGCTTTGTTGCAGTTCAGGTTTTTTCCAGTGTTTTACGTGTGAAGATGAAAACGCTAACATTCTGATGAAAGCACACTAGCAAAATTCTCTGGTTTAATTTCAGAAAATGGTCTTCTTGAGTGACTTCAGATTTTTAAAGTTACAATTGAGGAAGTTTCATAACTTCTGGTTGTTTACAGACTGTTACACATGATTTTCCTGTCACACTGTATCATTCAATATAGTGCTTCCTAATGAAACGTATTCTGAGAATCAACCAGGTACACTTATAGGAAGTACCCAGTTTGTATTATTTCAGTTACTGAAAGTGAACTTTTAGTAGATTTTCAGAAAATAGCAGTTATGAATGAAAAAGCTAACTTTTTAAGCTTCTCTTCTGGTTTAGCCTCTTCTCAGTCTATTGCAGAATCTTTTAAATTTTTAATCTTTAAAGCATTAGTCTTGCCTCACACTTTGTATTCTTTCCTTGAATGACTTTTGCTGATAAAACACAGGGTTTTCCTGTGCTGTTTGTAAGAAATATATAATTTCCAGTTTGGGGGTAATTTTAGTGTTGAAAGTACCCTGTCAAAAAGAATTGAACTATGAAGTTAAAATCTTACGATTAAACTCTAGTTGGTAGGTTTGCTTTGTGTATATTTGTATGTCTTTGGTGGTGACCTGTCCACCAAGTGGAATGTGACTTTAACGTGAGCTTTCAAAGGCACCTATGTAATCACTCCTACCTGCTAGGCAGTGCTAAAAATTCTACTTCTGTTATCTCTTAAAGTTTAAGGTTAAAGATGCAAATAAGCCTATCAGAGTAATACTCCCAAGTTATTGTCATGTTTAACGGTAGTGTATAAATTCACATTCTCTTTTCCTGAGGGCACTTTTTAAAAGGGGGAGCACAGGAACCTTGGGTGTCTGAGCAAAAGAGTGCCCTTCAGAGTGGCCAGATTACAGAGGGAGAAAAAGGATACATCAGTGGGAGGTACGGGATGTCCAGGTTATTTTCTACTTCCATTTCTGCCTTGAACCTGACTTACTGATGCTTCTTGCTATTGTAACATTATGAAGTGTTGCATATTTTCATAGTACTTTGATATATTTGAAAACTTTGTAAATCTGTGAATTATAATAAATAGTTTTTTTTAAGTGAGCAATGTTAAAACTTTTTTTAAAAATGCTACACAGTTTGAAGAGTTTACCAAAAATTAATGCTTATATCAATTACAGTGATATTTTTAAATGGTGCTTTTTGCAGAAGCAGGTTCAGGAGCACTGGACTCTGAAAATCATGTAACTTGCAAGGCTGAAGACCCTATTTGGGGGCAGCCAGTCATATTTATTGTCTGCTATGTACCAGGTGTTGTTCTAAATATTAGGAAGACAGCAGTCAACTAAACGAACAGGATATGCATACTGGAAATATTGTACTGTACAAAGAGATGTGAATCTGGCCAAGTGGAGCTCACATTCTAGAGTCCTCTGTAGAGTAACAGGGGAAGAAATTGGCCTGCATAGAAGAACAGAAGAGGTCACTCAGCCTGGAGCAGAACAGATCGTCGTTCTCAGTTCTTCACCTCTCTTTGTCCATTCTCTGACCATGGCTTCTTGGTGACTGGAGTGTATTTTCCTGCCCTTTGATTTTGATCTTGGCCAAGTCATTTTGCTTCAGCCAGCTGAACATTAATTAAGTTAATATAAGCAGTCTAAATACAGTTTCTTTTTAAAGGCTGAATAGTATCCCACTGCATGTATATGCCATGTTCTCTTCCCCTGTCAATGGGCATTTAGGTTGCTTCTGTGTCTTGGCTTTGTGAAGAGTGCTGCAGTGAACATGAGAGTGAAGATCTCTCTTCGAGATCCTGATTTCAGCTCCTTTGGTTAGATACCCAGAAGTGAGATTGCTGAAATGTAAGTAACTTAGCTAAGAGAATGGTTAATTCATCCCCTCCTCCAACTCTTTTTTTCCTAAAATAATGATTTTTTTCCATCTTTGTCAGAATAAGGCTGATCTGGAGCATACTAACCCTGATCACCTTGCCCCAGTATTATTGAGATGTCACTTTCAGTTTACATTCCTACCAGCAGTGTACAAGGGTTCCCTTTTCTCCACATGCTCAGTAACACTTATCTTTCATTACCAACACTTGTATATGTAGATACTAGCCACCCTAACTGGTGTGAAATGATAATCTCATCTTGCTTTTGATTTGTGTTTCCCTGGTGATTAGTGGTGTTGAGCACTTTTTCATATACATGTCAGCCATTCACATCTTCATTGGTGAAATGTCTATTCAGTTCCTTGGCCAAATTTTTAATCTGGTTGTTTGTGAAGTTTTTTTGCTAGTGAGTTGCAGATGTCCCATTATATTTGAATATTGACTCTTTATGAGATATATGGCTTGGAAATATTTTTTCCCATTCCATAGGCTGCCTTTTCATTTTGTTGATTGTTTCCTTTGCTATGCAGAATAGTTTGATGTAGACCCACTTCTCTATTTTTGGCTGTGCCCTTGGTATCATATCCAAGAAATGATTGCAAAGACTACTATCAAGAAACTTCCCTCCATGTTTTCTTCTCAGAGTTTTTACAGTCTAAGAGTTTTTACATTTATGTTTTTATCCATTTTAGGTTAATTTTTATGTACGATGTAAGAGAGAGGTACATTTTCATTCTTACACACATGAACATCCAGTTTTCTCCAGTGCTACTTTTTGAAGAGACTGTCCTTTCCCCCATGGTATATTCTTACCACCTTTGTCAAAGATTGGTTGTGTGTCTGTGGGTTTCTTTCTGGGCTCTGTTCTATTTCTTTGCTCTATATGTCTGTTCTTAAAACAATCCCAGTTATAGTAGCATCAAAAAGGCAGTGAAAGACTTACACACTATAAAATTATAAAACACTGACAGAAGAAATTAAGGCATACACAAATGAAAAGATATCCATGATCATGAATTGTAAGAATTAATATTGTTAAATTGGCCATACTATACAACATAATCTACAGACTCATTGTGGCACTTATCAAGATCCTGATTTTTTTACAGAAATAGAAAAAAAAATCCTAGAATTTGTATGGAAGCATAAAAGACACCTAATAGCCAAAGCAGTTTTGAGCAAAAAAAAAACACCAAAGCTGGAGACGTCATGCTTCATGATATCAAAATATATTACAAAGCCTTTTAGGTTTTCTTGAATGAGATCTGAAAAGTCTCAAATATCTGAAAATTCTGCAACCACATTTATTTTTCACTAGGGATATATTAAGTGAAATACACCATATTTGAAACTTTACTGCAAATACGATTTGTACTAGAACATCAAGAGCTCTTTAGCAGCAGTCTTAACTATGTGCCTCTTGCTGCCTCTAAATACGTTTCCTTGTGAAATGATTTTAAATTAACTTTTAAACACCAGTTTCCGTGTTCCACTGCTAAGGCTACAGCATGTATTTATAAAAACATTTCTGCTCACTAGGACACCTAGTTAATTACATACTGAGCTTGTATCAATATTGGGCTTGGTGACCTGCAGGCTTTTTAGAAGTGGGAGGCTTAGGAGACCATCTGCCAATCTCTGCCATTGGAAATGCTTTTCTCTATTACTGTAATGAAATCACTAAAATCATTTCCTGTTTCCAGTCCTTGTTCAGTTCTTCTATCTATTGTCAATAAGAGGATATTAAAATACTCAGGAAAGTCCACATGTCCTTTTCATCCTGGTCCATAATGTAGCAAGTGTCTTTGTGTTTTAGTATTGGAAATAATAAATAATGACGTCAAGTCTATTGTAATAAAAGAAGCCTGCTTATTAAACTCTTTCTTTTCCTTTGATATCACGGGATCTGTTTATAATTTTATGGGTTTTCCCGCGTACCATTCAGAGTTTATATGATTACATGAGAAATTGAAACGTCTTGGGGAACAGTCCCTTCATAGAACGGACAGTTTCCTGCTTGGCCAGGCCCTTTGTGCATGCAGACTCCAACAATGAGATAGTGGGAGAAAGGACAAGGAGGCTTTTTGTACTCTGGAGGAGCTTGACTTCCGGAAGTTTGGGCTTGCTTCCACAAAGGAGTGTATGTTTTGAAAGCAAGGTGTGTGGGTTAGTGGGGA